TGCTATTATCGACTAACATTATCACAACTATGTAATATTTGTAAGAATCGTTAACGATTTTTCTTCCGACACAATAACACGTCAACAGATGATTTGACCTGGAAATAGTTTGAAAACAAAGTCGAAAAGTTGATTTGGGAGAGCGCTATTTTCAAGTCGTTAAAATGACGAACTAATCCAACCAAAATCTTTGGTTACCCAGCCCTCAGACCTGGTCCTGGTCCTGGTCCAGGTCCTGGTCCAGGTCCTGGTCCAGGTCCTGGTCCTGGTACTGGTCCTGGTCCTGGTCCTGGTCCTGGCCCTGGCCCTGGTCCTTGTCCTTGTCCTGGTCCTGGTCCCTGGTCCAGTATTTACTGCTGCAAATGTTTGTTTTCACACAAACCGTTCGTACAGACGACTACGAGGAGTTTCCTGTCAGACTTTATTCTTCCACTCCTTTCCCTGAGGGAGGGCGGAGCAACGGTGTAGCAACAATGGCAACATCTGCACAGTAGCAATCCAAATACCCCGACCAATCAGATCAGAGCCGTACGGCGGAGTCTGAGGGCCACGAGGAATGACACGAGAAATAAAGTTCAAAATAATGAGAATAACATTCCGTCAGCTTTAATTTTCCAGGAAATAATAAATAAATAAAAGAAAATTTACAGAAAAAATGTAAAAAAAAAAATGCGACTGAAGTCGAGCTGATTATGTAGAAATACAAGACAAGGCTGAGATTTAGGGGAAAATACTAGAAGTAAATTTATGACAACGTAACGTTACGCAAAACACGAATCCTAAATGACTTTTATTCTCGTTAATTAACGTTTTGACCCCTGACCTCCGCGTGGCCCCGGGACTCCAGTCAGAGATGTGCAATAAGTCCGAAAAAAAAAAAAAAAAAAGTCCGATGCATACTGTGATTTTAGCAGACTGTCAGAGACTGACGGCTGACAGACAGGACTGACAGGTGCTCGCTGTCCAAGTGTCAACCATTACCCACAATCCTCCTGGTCTACTGTACAAGCTGCTTTACTCCTTGAACCTCTTTGAACTGAGGATCAAACTGTGTTTGAGGCTGAAGTTTTAACTTGAAACAAAAAGAAAAAGAAAAAGGGTTAATTTATTTTTTTGAACCATGTATTTGTGTGTGTTGGTAGTTGATGCTGTGCTTCTCTGTGTTGCCTCCAGGTGTCAGGCTTCTGGTCACACTTCACGTTTGGTGCGTTTTATTGTGAAGACTGTTCTAGTTTGACGTCTGTGTTAATGGAGCCATTCTGTCGACGTTCTAAAACGTTCTGCATGCTGAGGAAAAAAAAGTCACGGTAAATGTGGGGGGCGGGGGCCGGTGGGTGTACAGCACAAACAATGTGTACAGAGTGAAGATAAACCACATGTGAGAGAGTCACATAAAGTATTTATCTTTGAAGTATTCTCTGTCTCTGGGCTTCATTCACTGTGTATACACTCAAATATTTATATATTTATGTATTTTTATTTGTGTACTCGCTGATATGATACTGAGTACCAGTACTGAGTACCAGTACTGAGTACCAGTACTGAGTACCAGTACTGTGTACCAGTACTGTGTACCAGAGGGAACCCACTGTTGAACCAACCGGTTCTCCAAGGAACCAACAAACACCTGGTTCCTCCTGTGAACCATGACATCATCGGTGGGCGTGCGCTGTGACCCCTGGAGGACACCTGTGGTACTGCAGTCGGTCGTCTAAATATATCAAATATAATGTGTTTTCTTCACATATTTCAGGTCTTCTCTGCGTTAGCTGTCCAACCAGTGCTAACTGTCGATGTCACTGCAGATGTGAACAGCGCCCTCTTC